ACTAGGGAAATTGGACCTGATAATATTACTAATACCTAAGTCAGAGATGTCCTGCAAACGGATCGTTTTTTCGGTATCAATAAAGGGCCTAGGACAATGAGAATATAGTTATTCTAAACACGCTGAATAACTAAATAATTTCAGATATCCAAAAGAAAGGTACATCGGTAGAAATTGACCGAAATTCTTAATCGAAGTGTTGCCTATATAAGAATATTTGTAAACATGTGGTAAATTATGACCAGGACGCTTTTAATTTATCGTAAAATGCGTTATTGGGGTGAATTGGTGGTCGCATATTCAAATTACTTGAAATTGGAAGCTTCATAATTTTGGTCTCGTATCGATATGGAAACAAAGATATCAAGTGTTGCATAAACTACAGCTGCTCCTTCAACGAGTCTCTATCAAGTTTTATTATCATCTGAATACAATGACGTTATCTTACAAATTGATTAAAAAAAATACTGTAATTTAAACTTAATAATGCATCCATTAAAAAGCTTGTACAACAATTTTTATTGAAGTTAGGTAATGACGACGTTACCAAACAAAGTTACAATCTTCATCAAAACCTGAAGACCAATTAAAAGTATAAAATTATAACTACGGAATGATACCGTACCACATTTTTCGATTAGCTAGTAGAACGCGCAAATTTTTGCAGATTTGACATTTAGGTTAAGAATATCTAGAAGTTTATCACCAACGCGAATTAGCATATTGATTAATACCTCCTATAGTTAGACCATTGAGCTGTATCGGGACAATCTAAATTAGCCAATAGCGAAATAAATATCAAAAGCTGGATTACCGCAACGTATGCTTTTAAATAATTAACTGCGAGTCCCGGACTTGTCATCCGATGGCGATGGCGTAAGCGATATATGCAAATTAGAAACCGCGATAGGGATCGTTGTCTGTGGAGTTATTAGCGGTGCAGTATTCAGGGGTAGACTAAAGCTAATTCCTCAAGAAATCGGAATTTTGGAGAGAAACGATTTTTGAAAAAGCGATCCAAAAATAATTAAAAAAAAACCATTCACACCTATTTTTATAAATTTTATATGAAAAATTATACGCGAATACTTAATGCTCTTTGAATGTCTCAATCGGCGCCATCAATTCTTCTTAGCTTGCGTCATGCTGACAGCGTCGAATTAGTACTCAATGTCCCAATAACCAAAATCATATTTTTAAACGCCAAATCCTCCTAATTAACAATTCTGTTGAAATACCTTGTTTTTTAAGGAAATGACTGAAGATGTCCCCCTCAATGTCCCAATGTCAATGTGAAATATGGTGTCATAGCGAGATTACAATTGGTCGGAATGGAATAACATATATCATACCTAAAGCTTGTGCATCTGACCATTCTCGTCCCGTCTTAAGTATTGTTTTCCTCTTTTTTGTTTATTTATATTTAGGCCAGGGTCACATAACATTTTTTTGTTGTTTTTATATAAATCCTTCTTTTAAGTAGTAAATTTTGAAATTGTATGAATTGGGGTTAGAAATATTCAAAATTTGGACACCTTCAAATTAAAAACGACAATGTAGTTTCTAATAAGCTTTGCATCATTAAGTATACTTAGAAGATTGCGCCTTTACTTTGCACTTAATGTTTGTCACACCAATATCTACTTGAGATTCGAAGAATTAATGTTACTTGAGTGTACCTATTTAATTCTTAATGAATTTTTAGATTATTCCTGAAGAAAATATATATAAGGCCTTATGCGCTCGCTAACATTATTATGCTGCAAAGTACAATAAATATAAGATGGGTATCAAAAAAATGTTCTAAATAAAGAATTTTATCATAACTATCATCATGATATTACTGAATATTTTGATCTGAACTGTTGGTTTTTCTTAATTTCTCACATAACGCAATGAATACGCCGAATATTTAAAAACGTTAAATACTTTCTGAAAATAGTTCCAAAATACATATAAATATAAATTTTATACTCTCGCTGTGGATGAGGCAGAAAAAAAGGCAGAAGAATCCCTAAAATGAGATTAAAGGTGCTTCTGCAAAATAGGAGCAGTATACACTTGGATATGAACAGTAGTCGCATAAATTCCTAACATCCTGAATTGGAGCAATAAGAATAAGCACAATACGTATCAGACAATCACGCTTCTCAGCAGATTGTACCTGTAAAGAAGCCTCAAAGAAGCGCCTAGTATTGAACTTTTCCTGAGGATGGCAAATGGAGAGCCCTCAACGTATAAGCAAAGAATTAGTTCAAAGAGCTGCAAGAAGATTTGAAAAACAAAGTAGGTAGCTAAGCTACTGCATAGAAGTCAGCTAAGGGTGTGTTTAATGAAACGCAATATTTCAGACTTCCATAGTTTTTATTATTTACTTTTACGTTTTAATTAGCAAGTATCTCTAGTCGCCTTCAGGTCATTACTATATGCTATTGACCTTGTGGAACTAAATATATACAAACAATGTCCAAAATACCTCGTTTCATCTAAGGGTGATCGAGACAATTAACTAAAATATGATGTATAAAATTGGCTCACTCTCCGTAAATATGGTGTCTACTTCTCATCAGCCAGGTTTTATATATTATATATATAATTGGCATCCGAAACTTTGTATGGATGATAACGGGAAACACTTGAAATACGTATTTAACATTCACTGTTTTAAAATAATTTCTTTGCGGTTGGATGATTGTTGATTCACTTTTTGGTCAATAATTATTAAATAATAATATATTTTTTAAACAGTCTAATAACAAATATTTCATTTATATTTAAAATATTACAAGTTCTATAATATAGAGCTTTGAATTTAGTACAACATAAGAAATGAGAAATAAAAATCGACAGGAAAACTTTGACAAGAATGAATAAACGGAATTGTTATGAAAAATTGATTTTAATTGTTGGCTGTTGACTGATTGTTGATTCGCTTTTTGCTCAATAATAATTCCCATTATTATTATATCTTTATATTTCAAATATAACGTTAATTATAAGCGCTGAATATAGATCTTAGAATTAAGTACAATGTAAGATGTGAAATATAATGATATGACGTCATCGACAGTAAAACTTTCACAAGAATGAATAAAGGAAATTGTTTTAAATAATTATCATTATTATTATATCTTTAAACAGACAAATAACAAATATTTCATTTATAATTAAAATATAACATGCAGAATAGCTGCAAATTATGCAAAGAGCGGTGATACTGGTAATCTGCGGGCCAGTTATATTGCTGTCCGACGGTCATCTCCAGTTAGAGGTAGAACTATTATGGCCTACGTTTCGCGAAAAAACATTCTATTCGGCAGATTATGTTCATCAACGTCGCTTAATTATCAAGCAAGACGAAAATATAAAATAAACGATTGTTTTATTATTATTCGAGACCTAACTGAGCTTTTTCGATCTGTGGAATTCATATATGTATGTTTTTCTCCAAAATAAAACAAACATTAACAAATATATTTCTTTCAAACCAAAATTAAAATATTGATTATTTAATAACAGTAGTCATTATAGAGATTACCGGTTAATGTTTAAAATAATATATCATTGCTGATTAATGTAGGACTTTTATGACATCTAGAGTCCTTTGCAATTTTGCCTTGTAACATCGGCATTTATTGTTTGTACATTGAAGATTGATTTGCTCCATTAATGATTCCCACATACAGGAACCACATTCACAGGCTTTTTATGTAGTGATAAAAGTACATATATATGTCAAAGCATAAGGTCGAATAATAATAATAATAATAATAATAATAATAATAATAATAATAATAATAATAATAATAATATTTATTTCAAATTTATTATATAATATAACAAAATGAAACGACGTCAAATAGTAGTGCCTATTTTATTTACAACTTGAATTGTCCTTTTTTGTGATACAAAAATTTCTTATATTCTACTATGCCGGCCCCAAAATATTATTCCATATTTTTATCAATGAACACACCCAAAATCTTGGCATTATCTGAAATACCAAATATATGCTCCTCGACTTTAAAGTCAGTAATATTTTCCAATTTGGAAGTCTTTGTTTTAAAAGTATTGCATACTTTTTATTTATGTCAAGGATGAGTTTATTTTGATTGAGCCAGTTTTTTATTCGTATAAAAAAAATAATGCTGTCGTTTAACAATTGTGCCTTGTTCATTTATGAAAATTACAAATAAAAGTGACCACAAAATACTATCCTGTGCAATCCCATTACTGAATTCGCCATTTTTGTTAACCCCTAGTACTTGCATTCGGCCTTTAAGATATGTTTTCAACCATTGCATTGCCCTTAAGTCCGTAACTTTCGGTATAGGCTTTAGTTAGGTCTAAAAATATCCCAGTTGCTGCTTCCCCTTTTTCAAAAAATTGCAACCCTATTTTAACAAATCGGAAAATTGCTGTCTGAGTTGACCTTCCCTACAAAAAACTTGCAATTTGATAAAAAATTAATTAAACGTTTACACATGGCCAGTTCAAAGAGTTTAGAGAAGCCAGGCCACAAACCCTTTTTAACTAATGGTTTTATAAGTGATAGAACGAACAGAACAAAGTAACAGGTCTAAGATAAACAATGTTTCTAGGAACCGGGGTCTTTTCTAATAAAACGGACCCTAAATATTGAAAAACAAAACAAAATTTTTGGAGCTAAGAATTCTTGAAAGATTCACTTCAACCCTCGGTCCAGTACTGTCCTTCCTGCCGCCCGTCGTGCACCTGGGTGTCATCCGTTCAAGCCCCCGTTAACCTAGCGGATCGATGCCCTCGAAAGCGACGCTATCGATACCATGACGTCGTCGTGGTTGCGGCATCATCCCCGTGACGTCACCGTTGCGGGTACGGAGTGTGGAGCGGCTCCGGGACGAGGCGCCGCCGCATCGTGACGTCATATCCCCGCAGTGACGTCACGGAGCGTCGCGGCGACTGAACGCCGGTTTTATAATGGGTGCGTTGTGAGTGGCAGGGATACAGAGTAACGGCAACCGTCGTGGTGAACGTTTGGAGCGCGCTCAGAGACCTGGTGCAGGCGCGCCGTGAATAGCACGCGGTCTAAATCGACGAAACCACCTGTATATCTACGAAAGTGATAAAACTATGAAGATGTTGGCGATGCCGGTGCACGTATCCGCGGACTGTTTGTTGTAATAGTGCGCGCTTAACGGGGAAATAATTTCGAATCCGAGAACCTTTTGCAACGTTCAAAGAACTACGTTTAAGTGATAAACAACTCTGGATGGTGCTGTTATCATCGTTATTCGAAGTGGATTCTCCTTCGGAGAGCTTGTTAGAAGCGGAGGCTTCGCCCTCGTCGCCAGGTGACTTTTTGTCGATGTTGTTCGTATTGTTGTTGTTAGAGACGATCGCATGCTGCTGAGGTAGGTGGGCACGAGATGCCACAGACGGGAAATGCGTTCGGGTGCGTCCACGACCGTTCGGCACCCGGAAGACTTCTTCACGGGACCTCGAAGGCCCTGTAACGGCGCCCAAGCGTCCCAGGACGCCACAGATTCCAATAATAACTCGCCAGGTTACGCTTGCCATCTTCAGAACAAGTGTACGTACCACGTTTGAAATTTGGTGTACGGTGGCGATTTTGGGGTACCTAACGCTTTGCCGCCGCGGCTCCTAACTAATCCGTTCGTGCTCAATCTAAAAATCAACGCGGAAGTGAAATTGTTCAATAAAATTGCAATTTGCCGAGCAAAAAAGCTTAATGCCATTCATTTAAAAGTGGCCGATATTATTGACCAAGACCACGTGCAAATATTAATATCGATTTAAATTCTAATTGCCCAGTTTAAATTTTAGTTATTAAAATTAACGGTGAAACAATTCGAATTTGTAAGAACAAAATAATCACTTCCAAACTGGTTAGTTTGGTTTTTAGACAAGGGAAAATGTTTCTCTAAACGCGGCTTTTTATCGAATGTATAATCCTTTACCTGTATCCCAGACTAATAATAAATGGCAATAATTATAAAATATTTCTATATAAAATATTTCTACTCAACTCAATATGTGATGAAAATTTTATACTTGATGATATTTATATTTTTTGAATATTTATATGGGACAAACGTTTTACTAAAGAGTAAAATTTTTTTTCATAACCCTCCGAAAAGATTCGGAAGCATGAAACGCAAAATAATAATTGATATCAGCCAAAGTGTTGTGAGGGAGCGATGTTACCTAATGCTCTCGTTTAATGACCTATTAACATCATTTAGCCGGTCCGCCTACAATTTGTTTGGGGTTGAACTCGGTAATTTTGTGCTTCTCCATTACCATTAACTTCCCTACTGTCCCACACTTTCTAAGTGAAAAGTGCAGGAATAAACATGAACTTTAGTTTTAAAACAAATTATTTTTTCGAAACAGTAACAAATTTTAAATTGCCGATAATGCGAATATGCTTTGTCTAGGCAAAGTTTAAGTTTTTGTTTGTAGAAATCATTAAAGTCTGGTTAGTCTAGTCCCGCGGCAATTAGTTAAAACCCGCTTAATGGGAACCGAAAAATATTTCGGTAGATATCGCGTGATAAGGATAGTCAGATTAGTTTTGGAAATCCATCATTAATGTTTTTGCACATCAAGAATAGCCCTTGATGAGCGACTCAATGAGAAGGAACTGGTCCAGGATATTTCAAATTTGTGAGTTATCAATTTGCAGAAAAATTAAATTACTACAATTACTTAATTTACCACGCACGGTAGAGATAGCACCAATAACAGATACAATTTTTAGGACATTTTCCTTCGATTTATTCGCGAAAATAATGACTATTTTAAAGAACGAATTAACAAAATAAAAGGTAGTAAGAAAGTCCGAAAAGAAAATTTAAAAATATACTTTTTTTATATCGGGGGACACCATTCGCAGTGATTTCGTTTGCGGGAGAAGTTTCTTGAAATTATTCAGAACCTGAGGATGGTTAAAATTTAATTATGAACCCTTAAAGTATTCTGCCATTTTCTCTTTTCTTTATTTCAATCGTTATTTTAAATTGTGTTTGTATAAGTAGGGTACAAGTCAGAAGAAGTGTCCTAACAGGTAGAAGTGTCCTAACATTTCTTTTAATTTTTTGTATACTTATTTCCCAGAGGTTTTACCAATGATCAAAAATAAATAAATAAAATAAAAATAAATTATAAAAGATATTGTCATAATATCTTCTTTAGTAAAACAGCAGGTATGTCTTAAGTCATAAAATTAATAATTTTAACATTTTATATTAAATATTATTATCAAATTGTTACTTTTTTAACTCATCAGATTTGAAGTTATTATTAAGTGCTTTGCGATCATATTCGTTCCTAGTTTTGATATTTTTCAGGATTTATTTGACCGTCTGGGAAGTATCTAAGACGCCACAATGTTTTTACCATATTGTTTAGATATTGTTTAACCTCAGTTTCAACATAAGCTGGAAACTTTATACAAATAAGGAAATATTTGTAACAATTTCAATGAGCATCCCGACAAATTCGTTCTTCGTTATAATATATTTTCGCCAGCCTTGAAATGGCTGTAAATTTTGTTTAATATCGACGGTGAACGTAGGTAAACCAAAACCTGTCGGAATTTTACGACGACCGTTCGAGTTAGAAAAAGGAAAAGAATTCAAATTACCTTAATACTAGTCGATAAAGTATACGCGAATAAGGTCCATTTCGACATCCTCGTTGCATTCAACGACACAAACCGAGTAGGTGATCTTACACGTGTTCCAATAAATTAGGGATAGTTCCGCCTAGCTTTTCCTTTGGAGTCAAAATTTCGATTCTAATTTGTAGAAACTAGAGCAATCCGAAGGATTTATTTACTCGTATCGAATCATACCAAAGCCACATCCGCAATGTACAAATAAATAACAATATTTGGAACACACCTTAAAGAATGTTTGACTCCGGTAATTGGAAGATAAATCTTTTTTACGATCACGTAAAAATTGGATTCGTTCCAAATTAAGGATTCACGTTTGTGGGTAAAGATAAGTCTGAATCTTTTTAATTAGCGGTATATTGTGGCGTTGATAATGGCGGATATTGGTTTATGCAGTTTATTTTGAAAATGTTTTTGTTTATTTAAATTTACATTATAAATATTGTTATCTAGCTACGAATTTCTAGAAATTTTTTCAGATAACCAGTGATTTTCCCTATTTCTATAGGTTTGAGGTAGGATAAATAAAGACGCAGCTACTTACATATTAGCTTCTTCGTGTATTTGTCGAGGGAATAAGAAAAAATATATGCAAATTTGAGCCGTTTACTAAGCCTGAGACTAGAGACGACATTTTGTGAAAATATTACGTGCCTTTTAGTCTCTACGCAACTGCAATTTTTTAATTTTGTTGGTGCTCTTTTACATACTTGAACCTTTCGTAGTTACAGTGCGCATACCATGTTATAAATTTGCTGTTGAAATTTTGTTTAATATTCTTTCCGAATAATCTAATATTCTTTTGGCAGACAGGATCACTTTTAGTCAGATTCTGACTTCAATTAAAATTTCGTCTGTTAGTTTCAGAAATTTACTTGACAATTATTTATGATTTTAATGTATTTGTAAGATCTGCTCCTGTTCAAACGAAATCCTTTGGTGTTCTTGTATCGGTCCAAAATTTGTCAACCTCTTCGTTTTAATTGGTCAATATTTTAAATATAAAAACTTGAATTATATTTATCGTATGCTCTAGTGGCATTAGAAAGACCGACTACTATGTATCTGGATTTATTATGTGATGCCATACTTTGAAATAACCACAAAGAAAAGTCAGAACCCAATTAATATTTACGTACGTACTAGCTAGGATTTTGGAATATTTTTATGAAATATTTTGAATTTATAAGCTTTCATTACGGCATTAGAACATGTAATCGTTTATGATCTGAATTCGAAACGCTTGCTTAACTTTGCTTAAAAGCTTATAGACTATTTTCACTACTTCTGTGACCACAATCCACAGAAATCTTATTTTCTCGGAGTAGTATAAGTAGCCATTAAATTTAACAATATAATATAATAAATAACAACTATAAATGTGACTAGCAATAATACTGTTGTTGCAGCTATTGACGTTTAGATAAGACGTTCACAAGAAACCATTATAAAAACTACTTAAGACGAACATTAAAAAAGGTGTTAAAAGACTTAAGTTAATATTATAAGGTGTATTTAGTTTATTAAGTTTGTGTCAATTTTGGATTGGCTTTAAATATCGTAACGGTTATGAAACCTTTTTCAACCTTTTTCAATTCGCTTTCTGAAGTGAGAACCTTACCGTTTTCGATATCAAAATGGTGGACTTTTTCTAAAGAATGTTCAGTCAGATTGGTGTAGAAATATTCAAGACGCAGATAGACCGCGATCTACGTACGCTGCGGAGAAGACGAAAACTGTTTACAGAATTATAAAGTCTCGTATTTATTGCGCCGTTCTTTATAAACTACAGCCAATAAATTTCGCATAGTTCACATTAACTTTAAACGCCTTTACCGCGAACTGTACGCGCGTATACAATATAAACGCGTTTTACGACTGTACCTATAAGGAGTACTGGAGAAAAACCTTATTAATTTAAAGTTTATAAGCAATTATAAACCTGGGTGTCAATTATACCGGAATTTAGTGCGTTCCTCGTCTTCTTTTATTGCACGGATATATTAGACTATACGTTCGCCACTTCGATATATTTCAACACGTGTTGAAAAAGCGAGATTTTCCAAGAACATTCTTATTTTTTTCGCCATTTTTCGCATTTGGACTTTATACAGAATCATATTGCAGTTTGTCATTTAAAGAGTCACTAACAGAAGAACACTTACTGATATTGCAACCCTTTAAGGTTATTTCAAAATTAAAGTGCGAATTCATCTATGAATGTATCAGTTAACTTTAACTGCCTCCTTAAATTTACCTACTTTACTCTGTATCCGTTTAACTGGTAAAGGAATGACTTATCTTATAACAAAGTTTGCGAGTTCTACAACCATTTAACAAATATCGAAGCGCTCACCTAACGTTGAGCGCAACTAGCTTTACGTCTCTATCAAGTTTTTTCCTACTTCTCCTTCTATGTTTATTTTTTTTACCAAGTTTGATCCGATTTTATTTTTCAGTGTTGATATGCCAAAAAGGTCTTGGGACTGTCATTGGGGTCTGGTACTTCACAAAGCTAACATTTATAGAAAAAAGTCGCTGGTAAAGGGCAGACTTCATCTACACTGATAACCTAAGCTCATACAGAAAATAATAGCAATTATTGAAGAGAAACGAGAGACAGGAACCCAGGCAATCAGCATCCTTCTAGCTAGAGTTTCCAAAAAACGATAATTTAACCAATAGAAAGTAAATGACTCCAAATCATTATTTAAATAATTACATATAACATTAAGTATATACCCAAATAGGCACAATTTAATGCTTTTTGATGAAAAGGCGTTTTTCCAAATGTTTTACAAAGCCCATATTACAAATAATACTCAGATATCTTGGCAATCTTACAGGTCTCTAATTTTGAAAGTGATTATCTTTGTCGCACATAGTAACTG